TATATCGAATGAGTTAACTGACACGATTTCTGATCAACCTGCCAAAAGGCGAATATATGGTCAGATGTGCTTCGACTGGGCCAGAAATTCTACTCTTGTTGTACCATGGAATCAGGTATTTGGCGGCATTTCCTGTCTAACAGCCTTGTGCTGACTTTACTCTAGAGGCTCAGTCACCTACTGCCCCGATAATTCGAGCACTCCTTGTGGCTTCCCTTCTTGAACAGGGGTTTCTCCACTCCGCTGGTGCCCTCTCCTTAGCCACTGCAGCTGCACAGGCACGTGTAAACCAATACATGCGTTGTCCGAGGGTGTCTAGAGTGTCTAGATCAGTCCTTCAAGACCTGAGACTGCCGTTCTTTTCTCCTCGGAGTCGGCGAATGGTCTGCCAGAATAGTTTGTTTGCCGTGTGGAAATTCGACTCCAACACCTCACCAAACTTCTCCCAGGAATCAGCTCTGGCTTTCGCCATTGCTATGGCTGCCGCCTTGCGTGCCTCGACATATCGCAAGCGTGTAGACGGCTCTTTGTTTCCAAGCCAATTCTTGGACGCTGCTTTCTCATCTTTAACTGCCAGATGTACCTCTTGTATAAACCATGAAGACGTTTTCTGACCTCCAAGCGGCAAGCCAGCCCATTTATATCCGCAGCATTCCGTGGTAGCCTCGAGTATGCCGCTATGCCGCTCTTAAGGAGTTGCCACCGGTTTTCCACATCATTGGTCATCACCGAGATCTGTTCAAGCCGTCGTGCGATGTTGTTTGCAAATTTGGCTCTCATGTCCATTGAAGATGTTTCCCATTTAATTCTCCGGTTGTTCTGCCACCAGATCTTTGAATGGTACTCCATTTCTTACAGCGCATCGTGCCAGCAACAAGGTGGTGATCAGTTGATAGCTCTTAACGCGAAAATCCATTACTGAGCGTCTTAAGTCAGATGATACGATTATCAAATCGATCATCAACTTCTGTGCACAAGCTTCCCGGTACCAAGCATACTGATGCACTCTTCGATGCTCAAAGAACGTGTTCATAATGGACAGCCTGTTGTTTGCATAAAA